AAAAACAAGACCCCTATATATGCTGTCTACAAGAGATTCACCTCAAACCCAGGGACACATACAGAGTGAAAGTGAAGGGCTGGAAAAAGATATTTTATGCAAATGGGGACCAAAAGAAAGCAAGAGTAGCAATACTCATATCAGATAAAATAGACTTTGAAATAAAGACCATGATAAGAGACAAAGAAGGACACTACATAATGATCAAAGGATCAATCCAAAAAGAAGATATAACAATTATAAATATATATATACACCCAATATAGGAGCACCTCAATACGGAAGCCAAATGCAAACAAGTATGAAAGGGGAAATTAAGAGTAACACAATAATAGTGGGGGGCTTTAATACCCCACACACTCCTATGGATAGATCAACCAAACAAAATTAGCAAGGAAACACAAGCGCTAAATGATACAATGGACCAGTTAGAGCTAATTGATATCTATAGGGCATTTCACCCAAAAACAATGAAATTCACCTTTTTCTCAAGTGTACACAGACATTCTCCAGGATAGATCACATCCGGGGCCATAAATATAGCCTTGGTAAATTAAAAAAAAAAAAAATTGAAATCATTTCAAGCATCTTTTCTGACCACAAGGTGGTAAGATTAGATGTCAAGTACAGGCAAAAAAAACCATTAAAAATACAAACATATGGAGGCTAGACAACACGCTTCTGAATAAACAACAGGTCATGGAAGAAATCAGAAAGGAAATCAAGATATGCATAGAAACAAATGAAAATGAAAACACAACCCAAACCCTATGGGATTCAGTAAAAGCAGTACTAAGAGGGAGATTCATAGCAATAAAAGCCTACCTCAAGAACCAAGAGAGACATCAAATAAACAATCTACATCTAAAGAAAGTAGAAAAAGAAAAAAAGAACCACCCCAGTTAGTAGAAGGAAAGAAATCATAAAATTGAGAGCAGAAATAACTGAAAAAGAAACAAAGGAGACTAGCAAAAATCAACAAAACTAACAGCTGGTTCTTTGAGAAGATAAATAAAATAGACAAACCATTAGCCAGACTCATCAAGAAAAAATGGGAGAAGAATCAAATCAATAAAATTAGAAACAAAAATGGAGAAATCACTACGGACAACACAGAAATACAAAAGGTCATAAGAGACTACTATGAGCAGTTATATGCCAATAAATTGGACAACTTGGAAGAAATGGAAAAATTCTTAGAAAAGTATAACTTTCCAAAACTGAACCAGGAAGAAACAGAAAATTTTATCAGGCTCATCAGAAGCAAGGAAATTGAAGCTGTAATAAAAAACCTTCCAACAAACAAAAGCCCAGAACCAGGTGGCTTCACAGGTGAATTCTACCAAAAACTTAGAGAAGAGCTAACACCTATCATACTTAAACTCTTCCAGAAAACTGCAGAGGAAGTTAAACTGCCAAAATCATTCTAAGAGGCCACCATCACCCTAATACCCAAACCAGACAAAGATGCCACAAAGAAAGAAAACTACAGGACAATTTATCACTGATGAACAGAGATGCAAAAATCTTCAACAAAATTCTAGCAAACCAAATCCAACAACATATTAAAAAGATCACACATCATGACCAAGTGGGCTTTATCCCAGGAATGCAAGGATTCTTCAATATTCACAAATCAATCAATGTGATACACCATATGAACAAATTGCAAGATAAAAAGCATGTGGTTATCCCAACAGATGCAGAGAAAGCCTCTGACAAAATTCAGCACCCATTTATGATAAAAACTCTCCAGAAAGCAGGCACAGAAGGAACATACCTCAACATAATAAAAGCCATATACAAAAATCCCGCAGCAAATATTATCCTCAATGGCAAAAAACTGAAAGCATTTCCTCTAAAATCAGGAACAAGACAAGGGTGCCCACTCTCACCACTATTATTCAACATAGTTTTGGAAGTCCTAGCCACAGCAGTCAGAGAAGAAAAAGAAATAAAAGGAATCCAGATTGGAAAAGAAGAAGTAAAACCCTCACTGTTTGCAGATGACATGATCCTCTATGCAGAAAACCCTAAAGACACCACCAGAAAGTTACTAGAGCTAATCCATGAATATAGTAAAGTTGCAGGATATAAAATTAACACACAGAGATCCCTTGCATTCTAATACACTAATAATGAGAAAACAGAAAGAGAAACTAAGGAAACAATCCCATCCACCATTGCAACGAAAAGAATAAAATAATTAGGAATAAATTTACCTAGAGAAACAAAAGACTTATATATGGAAAACTATAAAACACTGATGAAAGAAATAAAAGATGACACAAATAGATGGAGAAATATACCATGTTCGTGGATTGGAAGAGTCAATATAGTGAAAATGAGTACACTATCCAAAGCAATCCCTATCAAGCTACCAATGACATTTTTCACAGAACTAGAACAAATAATTTCACAATTTGTATGGAAATACAAAAAACCTCGAACAGCCAAAGCAATCTTGAGAAAGAAGAACGGAACTGGAGGAACCAACCTGCCTGACTTCAGACTACACTACAAAGCTACAGTCATCAAGACAGTATGGTACTGGCACAAAGACAGAAATATAAATCAATGGAACAAAATAGAAAGCCCAGAGATAAACCCACGAACCTATAGACACCTTATCGTTGATAAAGGAGGCAAAATATACAATGGAGAAAAGACAATCTCTTTAACAAGTGGTGCTGGGAAAACTGGTCAACCACCTGTAAAAGAATGAAAGTAGAACACTTTTTAATACCATATACAAAAATAAACTCAAAATGGATTAAAGATCTAAACCTAAGACCAGAAACTATAAAACTCCTAGAGGAAGACACAGGCAGAACACTCTCTGACATAAATCACAGCAAGATCCTCTAGGACCCTCCTCCCAGAGTAATGAAAATAAAAACAAAAATAAACAAATAGGACCTAATTAAACTTAAATCTTTTGCACAACAAAGGAAACTATAAACAGGGTGAAAAGGGAGCCTTCAGAATGGGAGAAAATAATAACAAATGACACAACTGATAAAGAATTAATCTCCAAAATGTACAAGCAGCTCATGCAGCTCAATTTCAGAAAAATGAAGGCCCCAATCAAAAAATGGGCCAAAGAACTAAACAGACATTTCTCCAAAGAAGACATACAGATGGCTAACAAACACATGAAAGATGCTCAACAACACTCATTATCAAAGAAATGCAAATCAAAGCCACAATGAGGTGCTATCTCACGCTAGTCAGAATGGCTGCCATCAAAAAGTACAAACAATAAATGCTGGAGAGTGTGTTGAGAAAAAGGGAACCCTTTTACACTGTTGGTGGGAACGCAAACTAGTAAAGCCACTATGGAGAACAGTGTGGAGATTCCTTAAAAAAACTGGAAATAGAACTGCCATACAATCCAGCAATTCTGCTGCTGGGCATACACACCAAGGAAACCAGAGTTGAAAGAGACACATGTACCCCAATGTTCATTGCAACACTGTTTAAAATAGCTAGGATATGGAAGCAACCTAGATGTCCATCTGCAGGTGAATGGATAAGGAAGTTGTGGTACATATACACAACGAACTCAGGTATAAAAAATGAAACTGGAGCCTATTATACAGAGTGAAGTCAGTCAGAAAGAGAAACACCAATATAGTATATTAATGCATGCACACACACACACACACACATACACACACACATATATTTAGAAAGACAGTAACAGCAACCCTATATGCAAGACAGCAAAGAGACACTGATGTAAAGAACAGACTTTTGGACTATGTGGGAGAAGGCGAGGGTGGGATGATATGAGAGAATAGCATTGAAACATGTATATTAATATATGTAAAATAGATGACCAGTGCAAGTTTGATGCATAAAGCAGGGCACCCAAAGCTGGCACTCTTGGACAACCCAGAGGGATGGGGTGGGGAGGGAGGTGGGAGCAGGGTTCAGGATAGTGGAACACATGTACACCCATGGCTGATTCATGTTGATGTATGGCAAAAACCACCACAATATTGTAAAGTAATTGGCCTCCAATTAAAATATATAAATTACTTTTAAAAAATTGTAAACCAGTAACATGCCAACAGTGACTTTCTAAATCTAAGAAAATAGTCAGTCCTACATATGCCTGCTAAGTCAAAAGAGAAATTACCACATTTACTTCTCGCAACACAGACCTTTGGATATGTCGTCAATCACTCACCCCTCATACCAACATCCTCTCCCACTCGCCAAACACAAAAATGCCTCCTTTGTTGTTGTTGGCTTTTCTTGAGAGAGACTTATTTAATAAGTCTTTTCACCTTACAAACGTGTGCTCTCTCCATCAATCACACTCTTAAACTCCCAGACTCTCAGTTTCCATAGCCATAAAAGGAAGAGAAGAAAGACAGGAAGAAGCAAAGCAAGAAAGAGAGGAAGGGATAAGTAAGATATAAGTTGACTTAATGACCAATTCAGCGATGAACAACAATCTCACCATGACTAATTTGCTTTTCTTTTGACTGTCCCATGAACTAGAAAAACTTACAACTGAACAAATAGGTTATCAGTCATTAAATGTGCTCCCAACTTGAAAATTTTTCACTTACTACATCTTTGTCAATAGTCACATTCTCAAAGGCATTTGCTTTCTTCTGGTTAGGACAAAAAACCGTATTTCTGTAGCTCAGGGCTGAAGGCCCAGCTATTGTACATTCCAGTCACTTTTAGTCACTTGTTCTAGTTAACTGCATTCCAGACAACAGTGGTCTCTGCTACCAGGTCTCAAAAATTTCCCACATGGGCAAGTCTTACAGCTACAGCTCAAAGGGCCTGTAGCTGTGAATGAAGTACATTTCAGAACATGCTGTGTTCTATATTATTTAGCACACAAAGTATTATTAACACTAAGCTGTTTTGAAACTAGACTTTAACCAAGTTTTAATTATTATTTACTTTGGGGAGAAAATTTAAAAATGTATGTCAGGAATGGTGGCTGGGTGATACTCAGAGCTGCACACAGATACCTGGGTTCTCCCGGGCTGTCCTCTGCTGGGTCCAGGTCTTTTTCAGGTCCTTCTTCTGGTTTTTCATTGCTGTCCTCCTCACCTTCAGCTTCTTGGACCTCCTCATCAGACTCTTCATACTGATAATCACTTGCTTCTTTTGTGAAGTATAATACAGACTTTGGGACTGGAACTTCATGGAAAGAAATAATCCAATTTATAATCAGTAGCCACATTCAGTACTCTACCCCTGGGGAAGAGAGAAGTAGGTGAAGAAAGAATAGCTGGGCACCTTCCTAGAGGCTTGGGACACCTTCAGGGCCCTCACATTTTTGCAGCTTCAGGGTTTTTAGGGTGAGGTCTTTATCATCTTTCCAGTAGATCTCACACCCTGTGCTGCCGATTATTTCTGGCCCTTTGGAGAAGGGATCAGAATCATCTGGGTCTGACCGCATTTGGTACGATTTTGTCAGAACTTTGTTGAAAAGGTATTCCTTTCACTTAAAAAGAAATTCTACTGTGAAGCTCATTGGTTGCTGGACCCTTGAGAATTTTTATTTTTACATCTTTCAGGTGCTCCAGTACAAGTTCATCATTTTCCCAGATCATGCTACCAGGAATCTTTAGGTTTTTAAGTGCCCTCAAACAAAAGTGAGAGATGCCCTTTGTTTTCTCTTCCCTTCAGGCTCTCTTTCCATCTCCTCCCAGGCTCCTTCTGTAACAGGTACTGGCCACTGACATTCACCTTCTGTGGGCTCATGAATTGCATTGATGATGTCAGCTCTCTTATCAAACAGAGGCTGGCAGAAGGCAGCATACTTTTTCTCAAGACTGTAAAGGTCTTTATAGAATTGGGCTTCAACTTGTGCAAATTGTGCCTGGAGGTTTTTGAGAGCTTTGATCCACTGCTTAACCGCTAGAGGCCAGTGCTGAGTGTGGCCTACCTTTGACCCCGATGCCCCCACAGGGTCCACAAGGGCCTGAGGGCCCGGCAGCCACTTGCGCACCTCAGCCCTGCCGGGACCACAGGCCTCAGCCTCCCAGAACTTAGAGGCAATAGCCAGGGCGCCACCCTCCCAGAGCTCAGCCTCCACCACGGATTCCTCTGACTTCTGGGATGCAGCTCCCTTGACCCTGGGACCCTGAGGCTCCCAGGGTGGGGCACCCTCTGCTTGGTACTCACCCTGTGAGGCCTTGCCTCCCTCTCCCAGGTCTTCCTGCTCCTGTGGAGGTGCGGGACCCTCTCCAGGGCCTGAGGGAGGCTGGGAGCTGCGCCTGACCATCAGGCGAGTGTCAGGGGGCCAGACCAGGACGTGGTCATCGTAGGACAAACTGCGTAGAAGGGAGTGGACAAGACCCCAGAACACAGGCCCAAACTGCTCCAAGGGGTCCCTGTGGCCTGCAACCATCGCTGCGACTTCCTGCTCACTCTCTTCATCCTCTACTGTCTCCTTCTCCTCCTCCACTTCTTCCAACAGGTGCTTCTCCTCCTCCTCCAGGTCCTCCAGCTCGAAATCAGACTCATCCTCCTCCTCATTCTCCTCCATCTCCTCTAGACCTCCCTCTATCTCCTCTTCTAATGGCTCTATATCCCATCCCTCTTCCATTGTGGCCTGTGGCCCACCATGCCCCCTGCAAAGGGCTCCTGACACCCTCAGGGAGGGCAGAAGGGCCTCCTCGACCCCATCTGTCCCCTCCCAAGTCGGTGCCAGGACCCCAAGGGGACTGGGGTCACAGCCCGCCCTGCCACCAGCCCTGGCCAGGCCATCTGGGATCCAGTCATGTTCCTCTGTGGCAGACATGGCAGGAGAGATGTGCCAGACTGTGATGGGCCTGCAGTGATGTCCACGGGGAAGATGGCGGCTGCCGGGCTGAGAGTCGTGGAGGAGACGCTGTTGGCAGCGGGGACCGCAAGGTGGCGGTGGGGCAGCAGAGATGTCAGCTGCACAGGGAACTGGAGTCTGTGAAGGTGCTGGTGTGGGCCCGCAACAGGAATGGCAAGGGGGCTGCCCACAGACCGGCCCACCAAGACCGAAGCTGAGATGGCGGCAGACAGGCAGGAAAGACCCTGAAGGGCTGGTGACTGTAGGTGGAGCTTGAAGGGTCAACCGGGGACCACTTCCTCCAGCGCCAGCTCTAAGCTCATTTGCCAGGAGTCAAGGATTGGCATGATCGCCATCCAGTGAGTGGTCAAGGCCCTCAGCTTCCCTGGAGGCCTGACAGGCCCAGGTCACACTTTGAGCCCATGGGAGTCCCTTCCTTTTCATTCCATCATTGCAAAAGCAAAACTACAGTGTCCGTATGCGGGGGTGTGGAGGGGTGTGGAGGGGTGTGGGGGTGTGGGGGGTGCCCTGGTGTATGGGAACCTGGATATGGTGCCCAGTTGCCACGCTGTGACAACTCACACCAGCAGAGATACACTTTAAAAAAAGAAAGAAAAAGCGAAGGTGTATAGATCAAATATCAGCAACTGTTTAAAACCTCCTGTGAGAGACAAAAAGAGAATTTGGTGGTTTTAATGTTGCAAAAATTATTTAGTAACAGCACACAAAGTTGACATGGATGCTGATGAGAATGGAGAGTGGAAGAAGCAGTAAAAATTGGACTGAACCCTGTTTCATCAGGGCTCCCCCAATTCACTTTAAGGTGCCATGAAATGAAGAGAGAGTGACTTATTTCAAGACTGCACTAAGCACCTGCTCTGCACTAAAGTTACACACACTCCCTCCCAAATTCATATTTTGAATTGCTTATCCACCTCACACCCCAGATGATGGGGGAGTAGAAGGATATATGCTCATCTCCTCCTGTGAGAGCACCAGAATTGCAACTACCTGTTGAACAACCATCGACAGGAGGATGCTAGAACCTACCAAAAAGAGATATCTCACGTCCAAAGACAAAGGAGAAGCTTCAATGAGATTGTAGGAAGGGTGCAATCACAATAAAATCAAATCCCATATCCACCGGTTGGGCAACCCACAAACTGAAGAACAATGATACTCAAGAAGTTCTCTCACTGTTGTGAAAGTTCTGAGCCCCACATCAGGCTTCCAGCCTGGGAATTTGATAAAGGGGCTGGGAATCCCCAGGTAATCTGACCTTGAAGGCCAGTGGGCTTTGATTATAGCACTTCCACAGGACTAGAGGAAACAGAGACTCCACTCTTGGAGGGCACAAACAAAATCATGCACACACCATAACCCAAGGGAAAGGAGCAGTGACCCCAGAGGAGACTGATGCAAAACTACCTGCTGCTGTTGGAGGGTCACCTGTGGAGGCCTGGGTAGGCAAGTGTTCATGGCAGGGACAGGGACACTGGTAGCAGCAATCCTGGAAGGTCCCTCTTGATGTAAGTCCTCTTGGACTTGCCACTAACCCTACCACAGAGCCCATAGATCCCAGCCCTTGGATGCCTCAGGCCAAAACACTAACAAGAAGGGAGTACAACCCCACCCAATAGCAGACAGTTGAATTAAAGATTTACTGACCAAGGCCCTGCTCACCAAAACAAGACCCAGTTTTCCCCACCCTGTCCTTCCCATCAGAAAGCTTACAGAAACCTCTTAGCCTCATCCACCAGAGGGCATGCAGAAGAAGTAAGAAGAAAAACAATGGAGAAGATGCAAGAATTGTTTACCAGAGACCTAGAAGAACTAAAGAACAAACTGAGATGAACAAAACACTAGAAGAAGTCAATAGCAGAATAACTGAGGCAGAAGAATGGATAAGGAAGGGACCTGAAGAACAAAATGGTGGAAATCACTGCTGTGGAATAGAATATAGAAAAAATGCAAAAAAAAAATGAAGATAGTGTAAGAAACTTCTGGGACAATATTAAATGCACCAAAGGGGTCCCAGAAGGAGAAGAGAAAGAAAGGACTCAACAAAATATTTGAAGAGATAATAGCTGAAAAATTCCCTAACATGGGAAAGGAAATAGTCAACCAAGTCCAGGAAGGGCAGAGAGTCCCAGGCAGGATAAATCCAAGGAAGTTTATCCAAGGAGGATAAGCCCAAGGAGGTATATTGGTGACTGTATCCACCAATACACCTAGTAATCAAACTGACAAAAATTAAAGACAAAGATAAAATATTAAAAGCACAAGGGAAAATGACAAATAACACATGAGGGAACCCTCATCAGGTTATCAGCTGTTTCTCAACAGAAATTCTACAAGCCAGAAGGGAATGGCATGATATATTTAAAGTGATGAAAAGGAAGAAACTCCAACCAAGAATACTCTACCCTGCAAGATTCTCATTCAGATTTGATGGAGAAATCAAAAGCTTTCTGCACAAACAAAAGTTGAGAGAATGAAAAGACCTACAGAAAATAAACCCAAAGCAATTAAGAAAATGGTAATAGGATCATATATATCGATAACTACCTTAAATGTAAATGGGTAAAATGCACCAACCAAAAGACATAGACTGGTTGGGTGGATGAAAACATATGCATGCATGCACTGCCACTTTCCCCATCACTCTGCTTAACCCCCAAATTGTATGTAATCATTTTATATTGTTAGATTAATCATACTCCCATTATGGCTTGCAACTGTAATTACTTTTTATTTTTTGTCTGGCTATTGATTGTGAAAACTGATAAACATCTTTTATTATTGTGAGTATGTAACTACTATTCACTTAATACCATTGTGTCATGATTGGTCAACAGGAAAATAATAGAATTCTGTATCACCAAAAAAAGGCAGAGGAAGAAGAGATCAAATTGCCAACATCCCTGGGACCATAGAAAAAGCAAGAGAGTTCCTTTAAAACATCTACTTCTGCTTTATTGCCCATGCCAAAGCCTTTAGCTGTGTGGATCACAACAAACTGTGGAAAATTCTTCAAGAGATTGGAATACCAGACCATCTTACCTGCCTCCTGAGAAATTTGTGTGCATGTCAAGAAGCAACAGTTAGAACAAGACGTGGAACAACAGACTGGTTCCAAATTGGGAAAGGAGTATGTCAAGGTTGTATAATGTCACCCTGCTTATTTAACTTATATGCAGAGTTGTTGTTGTTGTTTAGTCACTAAGTCATGCCCGACTCTTTTGTGACCCCATGAACTGTAGCCTTCCAGGCTCCTCTGTCCATGGGATTTTCCCAGGCAAGAATATCGGAGTGGGTTGCCATTTCTTTCTCCAGGGGAACTTCCCAACTCAGGGTCTGAACCCAGGTCTCTTGCATCTCCTGCACTGGCAGGCAGATTCTTTACCAGCGAGCCACTGAGGGAAGCAGAGTACATCATGCGAAATGCTGGGCTGGAGGAAGCACAAGCTGGAAGCAAGATTGCTGGGAGAAATATCAATAACCTCAGATATGCAGATGACATCACCCTTATGGCAGAAAGTGAAGAAAAACAAAAGAGCTGCTTGATGAAAGTGAAAGAGGAGAGTGAAAAAGCTGGCTTAAAACACAACATTCAAAAAACAAAGATCATGGCATCTGGTCCCATCACTTCATGGCAAGTATGTGGGGAAGCAATGGAAACAGTGACAAACTTTATTTTCTTGGGCTCCAAAATCACTGCAGATGGTGGCTGCAGCCATGAAATTAAAAGATGCTTGCTCTTTGGAAGAAAAGCTATGATCAACCTAGACAGCATATTAAAAAGCAGACATGACTTTGCTGACAAAGCTATGGTTCTTCCAGTAATCATATACAGATGTGAGTTGGATCATAAAGAAAGCTGAGTGCCAAAGAACTGATGCTTTTGAACTGTGGTGTTGGAGAAGACTCTTGAGAGTCCCTTGGACTGCAAGGAGATCAAACCAGTCAGTCCTAAAGGAGATCAGTCCTGAATATTCATTGGAGGGACTGATGCTGAAGCTGAAACTCCAATACTTTGGCCACCTGATGCGAAGAACTGACTCCTTGGAAAAGATCCTGATGCTGGGGGAAATTGAAGGCAGGGGGAAAAGGGGACGACAGAGAATGAGGTGGTTGGATGGCATCACTGACTCAATGGACATGAGTTTGAGCAAGCTCAGGGAGTTGGTGATGGACAGGGAAGCCTGGGGTGCTGGAGTCCATGGGGTCGCAAAGAGGTGGACATGACTGAGCGACTGAACTGAACTGAACTGATATCACCAAAACTACCATTTAATAGAAAAACCTGTAATCACTTTTTTTCATTTATTTTTATTAGTTAGAGGCTAATTACTTTACAATATTGTAGTGGTTTTTTTCATACATTGACATGAATCAGCCATGGATTTACAAGTATTCCCCATCCCGATCTCCCCTCCCACTTTTTAAAATCCAGAATTTTCTTGGATTTTTTGAAAAATACAAATGCCCAGGCAATAGCTTTTTTTATCCAAAGCTACAGATATGTTTCTGATGAGCTACCGTGTTTAAAAACAACTGAACTATATGATGATCTTTTACTTTTATCTAGTTTGTTTCACTTTTCCTATTTCATACTCATTGCCCCCATTTCATTTAGTTTGTTATCCAATTTTTCCATCTCTCTTTCTGATGTTCTTTCTCAAGCTTTTAGCAAGCATAGTAGAAAAGCTTTTATGTGTATATATATATACACACATACACACACACACACACACACATATATATATGTGTATATATATATA